CCTCATTTCAGAGAGGTTGCTTTTCTCCTTCCATCAGCAGAGTTGTTTTTGAATGGAATACATAGCACATAATTCTTATCTATTTACGTATCTTACACCTGAATTTTCATATTTACACACATAGCTCTTAAATCGTTAGCATTACATCAAAATAGTACTATTACCGTTTTTAAAAGGTAAAATACACGTTTTTGATGCATAATTTTAAAGTACCAAGTGCTATGTATGTAAATACATAAGAATTGCATGCTACGCATGTAAATTTTCTTTATGTTTATTGTCTTTTTTTTTAATCTTTCGCAGTTAGTGTTGATGGCATTTGAGTGTCCCCATTGTTATGAAAGGTATTAATCCAACACTTTCCTGTGCGACCAAAAAATCACTTTTTTTTTGAAAGTTTATTATAATTTCAAGCTAAATTCTCTGAAAATTGGGCTTTCTTACTTCTAGGAACAATGAGGTCCAGTTTGCTGGCCAGCTTCAACCACGTGGTTGCTACTACCAATTGAAGGTTCCTTCTGGTGATCAACAGGTTTGTGTGTGCCTGTAGCATTTATATAATCAAGTTGTCTTTTTTTACTTTCTTTTCTTATTATATTATTTTTTTTGAATCCTTATATATTTTCAGTTCTTAGGGACATTTACTTACATACCACTTGATTCTTCTGTATTTACATATCTAACACCTAAAATTTCATACTTGCACGTACATATATGTATCAGAAGGTGCATTTCAGTTTTTATAAGTTAAGAGAAAGATATTTTTTTTTATGTGATATGAAAGACTTGAATGGTATGCACGTGTAAGGTTTTAGGTGTTAGATGTGTCAATACGTAAAGAATTGGGTAGTATGTATGTAAATGCCACTATCATATTATATATGAATGGATGGTCCATTTGTCTGTAAATCAAAGGTTCTGAGAGTAAGTTAAAAAGAGGCCGGCAATGGTGCAAATATATAATGACAGAAATCAAACAAATTTATATTTGCGTCAAAGATATTGATTGGATTATCAAAAAGTTGAATATTTATCTACTTTATGATATGCCTCTAAACCACCAACTTCTTCAGTATCCCTCTCAAGCAAAAATGTGCCTTTTTGAAAGTGGTTTTGCAATTCAAAAGTTGTTTTCCATGGCCTTGAGTGAGTTAAAGTGTGGCGTTGAATTACTTTGCAATCCAATTTTTAATCATAGATTATATAATTCTAAAAGCTTTTTGATTTTAATTCATACGTTGGCAGTTTCCAATTGGGAATAAGCAAGGAGGAAAAGGAGAGAAATGCTCAAGTGATGTTTTGGAAGGGCATATTTATTTTATTGGCTTGGAGTTACTACCACATGATATCAGTTTATTTCAATTATATTATTATTATTTTTAATAAGTCAAAGGTTTAAAAGGGCTATATCACATCATCAAAATGTTGATTGTTTTTATTTATTTATTTATTGTTAGGTTAATTTCATACTCAAAGCCCATGAAAATTTAGCTTTCAAAATTTTCTTTATTTTTTGGATTTTTTTTTCAATGGGATTTTCTTGTGAACTTGTTGACCCTTCCATGGACTCCAATGTTGTTCTTAGAAGTCTAAGAACCTTTTTTTTTCACTTACATTTATATTGCAAACTTAGTTTAATCCGGTGAATAAAGAGGATACATGTGCTTGAAGCTTGAGGCATGCTAAAATTTTTGAAGGAGCTATTTGATGCCACCTTTAATGATAGATTTAAGCAAGATTTAACCAGCAAATTTTAAACATAAAACTGGAGACCTTATAATTTGAGGGAAATTCTATAGCGAGGATACCCTCTATGTTAAATTGGCAATAATTGTGTCCATCATAGGTGATATAGCTCGAATTATTTGTCTTTATGGTTGGGAGCTTGATTTTTTTAAAATTGAACTTATCAGTGGAGTAAGAATTTGAGATTTGAAGATGAGTTATTTGGCCCAATCATATAGTTTTTAAACTATTAGGAAGTCTTCTTTGGTTTGTATTGTTGTGGCATGTTGATCTGGGGAGACTTGGGTGTTTAGGTCGACTAAACTTTGCTTTGTGCGGTGGGGGTCTCCCTTGCATGATCATTTTTTTTTTAATTTTTGTTGGCAAGGAAATTGTCAACCAGTTTGAAACCTAGGCCATTGCTATCCTACCCGGATTTAGATTGGTGAATTGCACAATCTTTTAGGCTTTTTGACTGGTTAAAGAGGTTGACTCGAAAGTGCTCGGAGTTTTTCTCCCATTTTCAGATGGATTTTGATATTTGCACTATCACTTGACGTTATATTTGGAGTTTTTCCTTTTTTGTCTTCATCAAATCTATCACTTGTATGCAGAGGATCGAACTTTTGAGAGTTATAAAGCCAGCCCTGTTGGCTTTTTTCCTATGAAATATACAATGATACATTTTCATTGATTTTCGTTCTCAATTTAAGATTTCTCATCATATCATGACATTTGTTTAAGTTTTTGGTTAAATCTTTTGATCAATTGAATCTTGAATACTGTTACAAATTACTGAACAAATTTATTAGGATTCAACTACTGGCACACCAAATTGTTTTGGTTGATTTAACCTTCTCTAGATACATATTTATGGGATTAAGATTCTACTTGAATTAAATTCTACTTGTCTCCCACTCCCAGTATTGCTAATTATTTGGGAAATTTACATACTTATGTATTTACATATCTCACACCTAAAGTTTCATATTTTCATACATAGCACTTTGGTGCTTTAAACCTATGCATGAAAATATGAATTTCACTTCTAAATGGCTGTAATAGTGCTATTTTTAATGTGATATTAAAGATTTGAGGGCTATGTGTGTAAATATGAAAATTTAGGTGTGAGACATATAAATATCATAAGAATTGTGTGCTATGTATGTAAATGCCCCTAAATTTTTCTTCCAGCAATGAAAAGGCTTAATCAATATGAAGCATCATGTGCTAAATGCTTTACAACTAGCATGTGAAGTATTCAGAAAGGAGCATTTTAATATACAATTGTGGTTTGATTTGAAGATAAGATTGATGATTGCTTGAAAATTGTATAAGTTTTTTTGGCTCGGATCAAGCTTGCACGAAATTAATGAGCCGACTAGTGTGCTTGGATCAAGCTCATGTTGAGTCACGTTTGAATCAAATTAAGCCAATTTAAGATTGGATCAAAATGTGTATATATGCGTATACATGAGTGTATTTTATTTTCACAATGCATATATTCAGCAGTATATATGTACTTGTACACATTTGGGTGCTTACTTGAAGTTGGGCTAAGATTTTATCCTAAAAGAAAAAAAAAATGATTAAAATCAAATTGATTTTTGGCTCAAATCAAGCTTAAGTAAAAATAAGTGAGTTGGCTCTCGATCAAAATGAAATCAAATCAAGCTAGGCCTTGCCGAACATAAAATTAAATTGAATGGCCTCGAGCCAATCTATAGTAGAGGCTAGATCGGCTTGATATTGGTTCATTAATAGCCTTATTTCAGTCTAAGATTAATATTGTTGTATAATGTTGCATACAACGATATGAGAGATAAAAAGTTATCGAATACTTATTTAGTAAGAATTGATGGAATATGTTGTATGTTCAAGCATTAATCCAAAGTATATTTGAAGTTTTTTTTTATGTATTTTCTATTGTTTTTTGGTTAGATACTAAAGTTCATGTTTAGAATGAAATATTTAACCATGTTTCTTATTATTATTTTTCATATGCAGATTCAGGAGTTAGATTTTGAGATTCCACCAGAAGCTCAGCGAGGCACGCTTTCTACGGTGGGTCTATTTTTCTTTGTTAAATATGCCTTGACTCAAACTTTTTTTTTACATTGCTAAATAAAGGTGCAGTGTTCTTCTCTTCTAACCAAAAATGTGTTATGGTAATCAAGTACGTTCATGAATATAATTTAGAGTGAAGTAAAAAAAGAAGCTATTAGATATCAGACACATATATTGTAATCTTTTGTGATAATGATGAATATACTAACTCGTGATATTTCGTAACACATTGGTATTTCTGTTCATTTTCTTTTGGCCTTAGTGGAAGAAGTTGGGAGGATATTAAACTATTAAAAATATGTGGATGCAATTTGGAAGATTAATCAAAATGCGGTAATTAAACGACAATGATCGGATCACTTAAATCTCTATGAACTAATTATCTCAGTTAAAATAAAAGCTGATTTTTCTTGTTGCGCATATGTAAAAATTACAGGCTATTATAATTTATGATGTTAGGAGACTTGGGTACTTCAAAAAGGTAATAAAATGATTTTTTGATAGAAAATCAAGCTACTAAATTGGTTATGTTGGAATATTGTAAAGGAACTGGCAAGTAAATTATGAAATCGCTCGGAGCGTCAGGTTGGTAATTCTTCTGTTTTCTATTTCCTATAAACTTGTCAGAGAAAATAGAAATTAAGTATGTGTGGGACTAAGATGCCCTCAATCAAGGGGAAGGTAAAAGAGTTATTGGTTATAGCAATGCTTACATATATCACTACAAGCTCAAGTTTAATTGATTGTGAAGGATTTTGTCTGAAAATTATATAGAAAAAGGTACTTAGAATGTAGTACTCGTTCTTGAAGGTACATTCAAACTAAGTTTTATTTCTCTTATTGCTAATTGTATGCAGCATTTACTTTTGGGCACAATACAGCACAATACAAATTTTTTTGCAGACTGAGACTTATACTGCTTTTAGTTGTATTGTCTTTTAAATTTGCAAATTTAGTTTATTCTAGGTGGAAGGAATACTTAAGCGGGCTGCTAATGAATTGGAGGCCCTTCAAGAGGAACGCAGGGTAAGTTTTGGAGTTTTTATGTGAGGGTTTTGCAGTGTCAAAAATAGCATGGTCTGCTATTATTAAAAAATTGCATTTTTTTTTTCTTTATTGCAGAAAGTAGATCCGGAAACCGCCGAAGCCATAGATAAATTCTTGATCAATCTAAGGTCCTTTGCTGAAGGAAGTGCTTCCTTTTCTTTCATACTCGATGATCCTGCTGGAAATAGCTTCATTGAGAACCCGTAGGATTTTCTTGCCGATGCCAATATCAATATACTAGTTTTCTTTTTATCATCTTTGCTTTAATATCTACCATAGTTACCATCAACATTTAATCTTCGAGGCATTTACATACATAGCACACAATTCTTATGTATTTGCATATATTAAGCATAAATTTTCATCTTTGCACGCATAGCACTCAAATCTTTAATATCACATAAAAAATAGCATTATTCCACTTTTTAAACGTGAAATACATGTTTTCATTCATAAGTTTAAAACACCAGAGTGCTATGTATGTAAATATGAAAGTTTAGGTATGAGATATGTAAATACATAAGAAGTGTATGCTACGTATGTAAATTTTGCTTAGTTTTTTAAGCTTCAAAGTATGTTAAGATTAAGAAGGCAACTTGTTTGATCAGTTGCCGATATTAATATGATGTTTCTAAGTTACATTAATTTTTCTTGTCACTACTGATTCGTCTGCAATTCTAATCACATCTTGGAGAATCCTTTTTGTCTGATGTATTTAGTAAGTTAAGTGATGTACTTGTGCTATTACAGTATGCGGAGCATATACTTATGCACTGTTTTATAGGCTTTATAAATATATATTTATGTCATTTCGGTAATATTATTGTAATGCACTTGCTATTGTAGTAGCACCCTCTTTCACGGTAGTTATTTCGAGCTCTGATAGCATTGAGATTTGTTTGATATCACCCTTGTTCTGATAATTTCACTTGGCCTCAATACTCTAGCTTCACTCTAGCAATTTTGTTTCTAAAAAGTTATTTACGTGTCTATTGGTAACATCACTCATCTCTATTTTGGGAAAGAAATTGTCGAGGTTATCTTACATAATCACTATGTAAATGAACAAAATGGCTACATTATAGAGAAAATTATCCAAATGGTCTCTTGACTTCTTGTCAGGTTTTGTTTTAGTACCAGAGTATAAAATATCAATTTACTCCCCGGACTCTTTAAAATGGGACAAAATGGTCTTTTAGACCTTCATAGGGACTATTCTTGGGGACTATTTTAACCCACATAAAAATAGTTTTGACATTTTTATAAACACTTGGACTAAAATGACCCCATGTAAATAAATGGATTATTTTGGCACTTCACTCCTACATTATATATGTTAGATAATTTGACTTAGTTTTCTTGGATGTTTCTCACTCGTGCCATTTTCATTATGCTTGATTTTTTCGACACATTTCATTACTTTGCTAATTGCAGGTATGCACCGAAACAAGATCCTTCATTATCCATCAAGTTTTATGAAAGGACATCAGAGCAACAAGCAGCACTAGGTTTTCTCGTTGATACATTTGAGGAAACTGAAAGTCATTCTCAGAGAAATTCACTATCTATTGAAAAAAAGCCTTTAGGGATTGGAGCACGAGGGCTTTCCCATGTTTCGGTTGGTGCTGTTGCCAGTCGACGAGCAATTGCTCAAGTTAATAATGATCGAGTTGCTGAAACCTTATGTCGATACTCGGCACCGGAAGAGGTAAAAAATCATATGATATGCAGATTTTGGTTTTCTTATTGGAAGATTTACATACATACCATTTAATTCCAATGTATTTAAACATCTGACATCTATACTTCAATTTTACTATATGTTAATTTGAGGGGGTGTTTGGTAGCACAGTTTTAACAGGATTTAGGCATGGATTCAACTCAAATTCAATCAAACGCAAAAAAAATAAAAAATAAAATAAAATAATAATAAAATAAAATAAGATAAAATAAAAAACGAAATCCAACTCTCCATTAATCTGAATTTATTCCCGTTTCATCTTCTCTACTACCGTTCCATCTGCAAATCCCACAGAGAGGCAAATTTACCAAATTTATGTTACCGTTGCTTGCGACCTTCACTCCAGTCACGAACTCACTGAAAATCTGGATTTGACAAATCCTACTTGATGTAAATTCGATCATGCGTACAAACACCTCTTAACTATTGCATGAAAGGTGCATTTCACTTTTTAAAAGTTAAACTAGTGATATTTTTGATGTGATGTGATAGATTGGGTGGTTTAAATGTAAAAAAAAAAGTGAAGTTTAGGCATCAAATGTGTAAGTAGATGAGAATTGGGTGTTATGTATGTAAATGCCCATTTTTTGTTTCTTTGATCATGCTTTGATATGGCTTCTATTCTTTCTATTCGCAGGTTGAAGCTTTGCCATCAACATGTGGAGCATGTGGGGCTGCATGTGTTACACACTTCTATGCCACCAGTATCCTTTCGGATTAAAATTGATAAACCTTTTTTTTTTCAATGAGTTTTATTCCTGTTTACAGTTATTGAATTAATTAGTATTTTTTTTTTGAAAAAAATCAATTAGTATTTAAAAAAAAATTTATTGATAGGTTATAGAAATTTGTAACTTAATATAGTTTCATCAGCCCGCACACTTCTCTAAATTATATTGTGTTATGCATAAATGAGATCTGATATAGGACATTTTAGGATCTAAGATTTTTCAAGGTTGATTTAATATGCAATGCAAAAAGGACATAAAATTTAATACAATTATATTGACTATTAAGAAAATTTACTAAAAAATAATACGAATCAAATTAAATGAAAGATCCATTGCCTATTGCTAAAAATCAATTATAAGAATTAAGGATCAAGGAAGCCACACACTTTATTAAATTTTAATGATTCATTTTATATCTTGATTGTGGTAAATGTTGCAAATGGTTTTTGTCTGAAAGAGATAGAAGAAAAGAAATACTATAAGAAAGAACGGTAAGAAAATATCAGCAAAGCAAATCTAAAGCTTCTCACTTCCAAAATTTTGTTATATTGGACAAAGTTGTTGCGATCTTGGTAAAATCTTGAATAAATCTTTTGCGATATACAACTAAACCAAGCGTATACACAAATACGACTGTATAGAATTTTTTACGCATATTCCTGAGCCCACCTACCGATGTGCGGCGGACCCGGGCCCCCCCGCCGAAGTGATTGAACCAAGCCCTCCTGCCAAAGTGGCTGAATTGAGTCCACTTGCCGAAGTGGTTGAACTCGCCTCTTCCACCCAGAGGGCAGCCTAACCTGCTTATAGAGATGCAGCTACTGGAAATGATCATCATTATCAGCAAGGATGTATGTTCATCCATCTTAAAAGCATCAACTGATATCCACATCTTGGTTTTTTCATCAACACAGCATGGATTGTAGTCATTCAATACTAAAGATATATTTTTTTTAATTTTTCTTCCTTGTATAAAAGGAACGTCAAGCTAAGAGAGAGGAAGCTCTCTCTCTCCAAAAAAATCATTGTAGCTTGGAAAACCTCTGACGGTACGATATTCTGGCTTGCCAGAGGCTCCAGTTCAATAGATATCTCTGAGATATCTTCCGGATCTTACACCCGTCCCTCTTTTCTACATTTTCTCTACAATAACAAAATCTTTACCGGTTCGTATGTACTTATGAACGATACGGGAGCCTATGTCCTAAAAGAATTCAACACCAAGAAAATTGAGAACTTTAACATTAGTGGCTTTAGGCAAATGTGTAATTATTTAAATCTTTTGAGAATTAATAGAAATTCCGCAATACTCGCAATATTTTTAAGAATCTAACAATTTGCAACCAAAGTATATCTACATATAGAAAATTTTGCATGCAATTGGTTATTTGTTGAAGTTTTCTAAACATTATGTCATGGGCATGCTCATTTTCATTTTATGAATAAATTAATTTATCATCATTAAACAAATATATATTGATCCAAATATGTTTAAAATTTGTATTTATTATCCATAAAAACTATAGGTGTATCAGTTAAACCCAAAGGCATTACCATAAGTTCATAGTCTATAGCTTTAGTAAAAGCAAACCTCATCACATTTTTTAATTTTTGGTATTCTTTTAAAATGTCAATTTTCCTTTATTTGATCATCAATTTTTTTATAGAGGATATTAATTGCCACTTTGCTCTATCCTTTATGTTCCATGCATAATCTTACACTTGTATTTTCCTTCTTTACAAATAGAGAAATTTACATACATAGCACACAATTCTTATGTATTTACATATTTTGCACCTAAAATTTCATTGTTGCATATATAACACTTTGGTGTTTTAAACCTATGCATGAAAATGTGCACTTTACTTCTAAAAAGTGGTGGTAGTGCTATTATGTGATATTAATGATTTGAGTGCTATGTGTAAATATGAAACTTTAAGTGTGAGATTTGTAAATACATAGGAATTGTGTGTTATGTATGTAAATGCTTTTTATTGGGGCATCAAGTTTGAGAAAACTCATATTTAACAGATCCTGTAACTGTTTTCAAATTTTTTATTGGGGCATTTACATACAAACCACCCTATTCCCAAAATTTTGAAAGTCGAACTGAACATCAAATCAGAATGAGAGGTTCAAGGCTCATTGGTTTGACTGTGGTTGAATCGAATGACATAATAAATATTAAAATTAGTTATAAATATCATATAAAATTAATATATATTTATGTATCTATATTAATATATATTATTAGGCTAATTATTACTGGAGTTATTATTAGCATTTATTTGCTTCATTTATTTTCTATTTTCATATTTATTTGTTTCCTTTTATTAGGTTTTGTAATATGTATTTATAACAATTTTCCTATCAATGAAAGTATTCTACATTATTTTAAAAGTTGACATGGTTTTAGAGCCATAGTATGAACTCTAGAGGTTTTGCCCTCGCCAGCGACCACATGCAATTTTGTTTATGAAGGTTTTCTACAGTCGGTCCGACCAACAACCTCTCACCGACGGTCTGTTGTCCCTCTCATCGACGACCGGTCCTGAAATTTTGCAGGACTTCCTCTCTATAGTGCAAATCCCGCCCACAAAATATTTTAGCGAGTGTTTCTCTCTCTAGTGAAAATACCCGATTCTGGAATTTTCAGCGGCACTTTCTCTTTCTAGTGGAAATCGCAATCGGTAATTCCCACTGGTGCTGAGGTTGTTTTCTTCTTTCCTGTAGTTTGTTCTGTTGAATCTTGAACCTTCAGGTTCGTGGAATTTTCCAAGGTTCAACCACTAATTCTTTCTGCTTTTCTCACGTCGCCAGTTCCTCATGCAGTCAGAATCCTTCTCTGTCTCGACAGCCCAAAATTTCCTTCGGCTTTGTCAGAATCATGGTGGACTACACCACCAAACCTACTTCTAATGGTGTGCTTGAGTCCACAGGAGGATCACCACTAATCTTAATCCCTCCGCAAACCGGAGGGCCGAAAAATCACATGAACTTCTTACTCATTATCCATAAACTTAACGGTTCTAATTTTCTCCAATAGTCCAAAACCGTGTCCTTGTTTGACAAGGGATGCGGGAAATTTGGTTATCTCACAAGTGTGATTCATGAACCTCTAAAAAATTGACTCGACATATAGAGCGTGAGAAGTGGAGAATTCCATGGTCATGTTGTCGTAGATTAACTCCATAAAGACTACGATTAGTAGTTCGTATATGTTTCTTCATTTTGTCTGCGCCTTATGGACTGTAGTTTGGGATACTAGGGAACTTCGACCAATTTTATGAGATTTCCAAGAAGATTTACGCGACGAAACAGAGGCCGAGGACTGTGCAATACTATAATGATTTGATGGCCTTATGGATGGAATGTGATCTCCGTTATGACTATACATGAGACTCTATGACAGACTTTTCCCTCTTTCAGAAAATTGCAAAAAGGGATTGTATGCTCCAATTTATGGCAGGCCTTAACAAAGACTATTATGAAATATGGGGTCATATTCTTGGTCGGGATCCCCTGCCATCTGCTCACGTTGCATTCACAAAGATTCAACGCGAAGAGAGCCAAAGATTTGTTATATGCTCGGAACTTCCACTTAAGTCGAATCATCTGTCTTGGTCACTAATAGTACTTGACACTCTGCAATGCCATATCGAGCCACTGGCTCCACTTGTGACTATTGTCACAAACCCAACCCTACTCGTGACAAGTGTTGAAAACTCCATGGTCAACGGACATACAAGTTTTCAACCAAATCCACCTCTGTCAATAGTCTCACTGCAACATCTCAATTTCTTACGACACTACCAACTCCTGCTCAGAACACTTCATAATCATCAAACTCTTTTAAGACTCAGATGGAACAATTAATTAAGCTGCTTAAATCTAGTCAACTCTCTTTTGGCCTATCTACCTCCCATATAAGTCAAGGTATCATTTCTATGACACTCATCTTTTTTGTCTCTTCTAATCCATGAATCATTGATTCAGGTACCACAAACCACGCGATTGGATATTCTCAAGCTTTCTCGACATTATCCATGCTCCGGGAAATATATTTAAATTTTTTTATGGCTCCTATAATTTCATTATTGGTAAAGGGTCAGTTGTATTAACAACCGGTCTAACTGTAGAATCTGTAATAAATATAGCTTTGTTAAAGTGTGACTTTTTATCTGTTAGTAAGTTGACGTATGACATTGATTGTGTTGCTTATTTTTCTCCTGATGTTTGTCTTTTATGATTGTCGTTCAGACATAATGATTGGAATTGCTAAGAGCATAGCCAGACTCTAATTCTTTAAGAGATGCACGAAGAACGAGGATGTCTTCTACTAATGCAGTTTTTTAGATCCACTGAATGTCCTATCATGTTGTTATATTGTCGCTTAAGTCGTCATAGTTTTCAATATTTAAAATAATTTTATCTGTTGATGTATACTAATAAAAATCTTGCTAACTTTAAATGTGAGATTTGTTAATTAGCTAAACATCATCGTGTTCTATATCCACCCCACTTCTGCACACTTTTTGCTTCATTTTCACTTATTTACAGTGGACTTGTGGGACCTCTCACACTCCCAACAACATTAATAAACTGTGATTTCTCATCTTAATTGAAGACCACACTCAAATGACGCGGGTTTATATCTTAAAAGATAAATCTGAAGCTTTTGTCACCTTAAAAAACCTTTACTCCATCTTGACACAATTCAAAACGTCAATTCAAGCCCTTCGAACTGACAATGACCGTGAATTTTTTAATTCCATAATAGACGAATTATTGGTAAGGACATCCTCCATCATAGCTCATGTACTATTTGACAAAATAAGGTAGCCGAGAGAAAAAATCAACACCTATTCGAAGTGGCTCATTTCATTATGTTTCAATCTAATGTTTCAAAAAATTTTTGGAATGATGCCGTGCTTAGTGGCACTTATCTCATCAATAGAGTCCCTATAAAAATTCACAACTTCAGAACTTCATTAATTATCTTGATGTCATTTTCCCTACTAATTTGTTCTTCACCACCCATGATCCCAAAATTTTTGGGTGCATGGTCTTTGTTTGGAACACTACACCTACTCATCTTAAATTTGATTTAAGGTCAGTAAAATGTGTCTTGCTCGGATATTCTGCTTATCGGTGTCTTAATCCTATCACAAATAAACTCTATGTGAGTGTCGATGTCTCATTCTTTGAAAGCGTCCCTTACTTTCCGATCACTGCCTCATGTGAGTGGAAGTTAGATTTCTTGGACATTGTTATTTATCCGACTCCTATAGATATTTTTCCAACCACTATATCCAAGGAGCCCTCTCTCTCTCTGGATCCGCCACCTCTCAGACAACCGGAATCTCCTCCCATCATTTGTATCTATACTCGACACACTCGTTATGATGTTCCTACTCTGAAACTCGCTAACTCTTTACAGGAATTGGAATCCACTACGGGCTTCATCCCCATCACTAACCATATTCCAGATGGGAAGGTGAGTTCTCTTAGTGAGGTTTATGATCAGGCAAACTCTCTTTATTCTATATCAAAATATATCACTTTCCTAAAAGCGTTTACTACTGCCCTGACAGATCGTCACCTTCATCCACTATTGAGGCAACATTAGCAGAAAGCTCCTGGAGAACTGTTGTTTTGGATGAAATGAATGCTCTTCAACGAAATCATATGAGGGATGTTGTGGATCTTTCTCCAGGTAAGAAAGCAGTGGGGTGCCACTAGATTTTTAGCACCAAGTTGAACTCCCTTGAATTCTTTGAACGCAACAAGGCACGGTTGGTCGTCAAATATTGCTCACAAACATACAAAGTTGATTATGAGAGGACATTTTCCTCGGTTGCTAAATTGAACATCATTCGTGTCCTATTATCCGTTTGTTGTGAATTTGGATTGGCTCTTGCTTCAACTTGATATCAAGAATGCTTTCCTAAATGGGGATTTCACAGAGGAAGTGTACACGTGCCTTCCTCCAAGCTTTAACTCCACTTCTTCCCGAGGACAAGTGTGTCGACTGTGGAAGTCCTTCGATGAACTGAAGCAATCCCCAAGGGTCTGATTCGACAAATTCACAAAGGTGGTAGTGGACCATGAGTTTTCTCAGGCTTAATCGTGTCATACTCTCTTCTTTCAATATTCGTCGAGTGGTCAAATTGCTATACTTATCGTTTATGTCGACGATATTGTATTCACAGATGATCCTCCAACATTAGAGTCTCTAAAAAACATTATTGTAACTTCATTTGAATTGAAGGACTTGGGTCGCTCCGACACTTGTTTGCTTCAAATTTATGTTTGATCTGTATACAACCGTCCAAACTATCCAATATATAAGACCCGTTTGATCTCATTTATTTTAAAACAAAAAAATACTATTTTTTTTAAATCAAAATTACATTGATATATATATATACTTAAATTCAAAATTTAAATGCATTTTTCCAAAAATCCCGGCGAACAACATGCTTGGGTGGATATTCTTTAAACTGTGAAGTTATTTAAAACAAAATATGAATTTAAACTCAGTAAGATTGTGTTACTTTATTAAAGTTCAATAAATAATCATTTATCTAGATCATTAACTGCAGAAATGATTCTTTATTACATTTTGACTGGACCAGCTACCTGTTCACGACCGAACCGGTTGATTTTGCTAGTCTGGTCCGATTTTCTCGACCTTACCAATTCCTATCTATTTACATATCTAATACCTAAAATTTGATTTTTACATTTCTACCATTCAATTCTTTTATATCACATTAAATAGACCATTATAATACCCTTTAAAGAGTGAAATATATAAAAATCAGAGTTTAGATGTTAGATATGTAAGTACATAGCAAGCTAAGGCTTTCATAACTGACCTTTCATTTTGTTTAATCTAATGAAGCTCGCATGCGTTTAATATCTAGATAATGACAAATTAAGCCAATCTAAAACTACTAATTAAAATTTCTTTTGCAATATGATCCTAAGGTTTCCTACCTAATTGTTCGCGTTTTTTATAACCTTTTTGAAGTTAGTTTTCTTCATTTTCTGCTTCATCATTTTGAATAAACACACCTATAGATATTTTCTATATTCAAAGTATACTATACCACACCATACCGTAATGTGTGCACTTTTTTATTCTTGTCGGTTTTCTTGGGCCATTTGCATAAATACCCCTTAGTTCTTATGTTTTCACGTATCTAACACTTATACTTCACTTTTTTACATTTCTACCACCCAAATCTTTCATATCACATAAAAAAATACTGCCATTTTAATTTTGTGAAAGTGAAATGCATCTTTTCTTGCATAGAAAATGTGATATGCACGCAAAAATTAAAGTTTAGGTTTTAGACATTTAAATACATAACAATTGAGTGGTATGTATGTAAATCTGCCATTTTTGTCACTTAAGGTGATGAGATTGCTTTGCTTTCGGGCTTATGCTAGTATTGTTATGCCCATCTTCATCCAATGCACTCGACGTGTTCGGATGATGAAGCTTCCCTACGCACAAACTTCTCCCCTTTCTCCGCAGCCCAACCACTGTATCTTTAAAGTTGTCATTGTTTCTTCCTTGGGGGTGTTTTGTGGAATTACGGTTTTTGGGGTTATTTTTTTCATTAATTTTGGATATGATTGATTTGTACATCTGAGTGCTTTCCGTTTCTCTTGCTTAGGCATATTGTCTTATTTTTTGGTTATCACAATTCATTAAATAATTTTTTGAAAATTTACATGATTTCCACACAATTCTTATGAATTTACATGTCTAACACCTAAAGTCTGATATT